AGTGTCTGGGCCCTAAAAAGCTTATCTTACAACAAGCAGCCATCTAAATGAAGTGTTGGCTAATTCCACACAGAAAGCACACCGGCATGTGTAATCTAAGAATTGTAAATAATAAAATCCAAACACAGAAGGGTATGTGGCATTAGAACTTAAATTCTGAACACCCTGTTTGCAGAAGGCTGCAGATAACAGTGAAAACACAAAAATCCATTTGCAGGGTCTCCTGTTCAGAGTAAGCCTCAGGTGAACCCCCTCTGACTACGGACCGGAGATGGAAAAGGCCTTGCTACCAGAGTCCATTGCAGGATGGATGAGCGCAGTCGGAGTTAGGGCAAAATGAGACATATTGTCGGTGAGCCCCTTGTGACCCAATGGATAGTTGCTCCAGCTTTTGAATATTTTCTGCTTTGTTGTCGATTGAGATTTTTCTTTGATTCATTATGTCATTCTTGGCCCATTTGCTCATATTGTCTTGATTATGTAAGCTTTCTGTATATGAAACCCAGATTAGATAAACCTATAGGAAGAACACTGGACTGATAGATTCAAAGGGACATCACAGGGGAGGCTTACAGGAAATGGAGAGCTAACAACAGGTACAAGGAAGAAGAAATATCTTGGAATTGATTGTAGTGATGATGGCACAATTCCTATGAATGTTATTGAGCTATTGAAATTTATTGTGATGTGGATGAAGTTATTAAAATATTAAACTTATTAAATAAAAAATAAGGCATAAAATAATGATGAAAATGTTCTGAAATTTATTGTGGTGATGATTACACAAATCTTTTTAATATGTTTAAAATTGAATTATATTATATGTGAATTCTATTTTAACAAAACTGTTAAGTTTTCTCCATCATATGAAAGCAACTTAAAAATACCATACCATGCTATTAGTTATATGCCTCTCCTACAAAAAGTACAGCCTGGTCTATTAAAAAAAAATATTGGGAGACCGGACTAAAAGATTGCATGTCCTGAAAATAAGTGCTTACTCTTGTCTTGGGGTTTATCCTTATGGTAGCGGTCTCTTACAATTTTAGTTCTTTTATTGTGAGTGACTAACTTCACTGAGCATAATGGCTTTCAGATCTATTCATATCATGAGTGTTTCGGGATTTCACCAGCATTTTTAGGGATACACAATATTGCATTGCGCTTATGTTCCAGAATTTCTCTATTCATTATTTTACTGATGGATGCTTGAGCTGCTTCTAACTTCTTGCTATTGTCAACTGTGCTGCAGTGAACACAGGAGAGCATCCATCTTTTTGCGTTGTGTTTCTTAGTTCTTTGGAGTCAGAGCCAATGACCTACTCTTAAAAAAATTATCCAGCCTTATTACTGCATATGAATTCCCACAAAGAGTAGTTTTTCTATTTTACTTTAGTTTGGTTTATTTTATATATATACACACAATTATCCAGCATTATTACTGCATATGAACTCCCACAAAGAGTAGTTTTTCTATTTTACTTTAGTTTGGTTTGATATATATACAATTAAATTATCCAGAATTGAATATATGTTTTAGTGTCAACAATTAAGTGGGAAATGATGAAACGGAACAATGTGAAAGAAGACTTCAAAAAATTTGTCTTTGCCTTCTCCCTGCCACTGAGTTGATTCCAACTCATAGAACTGCCCTTGTGGGATTCTGAGCCTGTAAGTGTTTATGGGAATAGAAAGCCTCATCTTCCTCCCGCAGAGGGGCTGGTGGTTTTGAACTGCTGACTTTGTGCTTAGCAGCACATCATATAACCCATTATCCACCAGAGATCCTTCTTTGCGTTCTAGGGCCTTATAAATTATTGGACAAGTGTATGATAAATACAAGTTTCATATTATTCTTGGTTATATCAAGGCACTCTGGTGGCATTGTTGGGTATGTATTGAATTGTTAACAACAAGATCTGCAGAAAGATAAATATTTTCAGTCTAGCAAACCCTATGTGAGGTTGCTATGAACCAGAATCAACTCATAACACCCCCTTTCCGTCAGAAATTCTGATGGTGTAGTGGTAACAGATCGGGCTGCAAATTGCTAGGTCAGAAGTTCCAAACAATCAGCTGCTCTGTAGGGCAAAGACAGGGTTTTCTACTCCTATGAAGCATTACAGCCATGAAATTCCACAGGGAAAGTTTTACCCTGTCCTATAGGCTTGCTGAGTTGGAATCAACTGATGGCAATGACCGATATCAGTTATCACAAAATGCCAAAGAAGGGCACAAATGGTAATGGGCATGAATTAAGACGTGGGTGACCATAACTAGACAATTGCATTAGAAGACAATTTTTAAGCAATAGAAATGGATGTGTTAAGGGAGATAGCAAGACCCTATGGGTAGAAGGGACATTATGAGTAAACAAACAAAATTACAAGAATGGGTGCTACGCTAGGCTGTATCAACTGGAAAAGACAGGATGGTGCCATTGTACATAAACCTGAGGTATGTAGCTGAAATGTTTTATAAAAACCAAACCAAACTCCGTGCCATTGGGTCAATCCTGACTCATACCTACCTCCAGTAGATTTTTGAGACTAACTGTTTACAGTAGAACGCCATGCCTTTCTCCAGCAGAGCTGCTGGTGGTTTTGAACCATGTGGATCACAACCCAATGAATAATCACTACACCCTCAGGGTTCCACGTGATGTTTTATACAAGATGGAGAAAAAATAGACTTTTTTGTACAAATTTCAGGAAGCCTATGTGAGCAATTTTATATTTTGGGAAGAAAACGCTGATGGTATGGAGAATGGGACCAACAGCAGGAAGCCATATGTAAGAATCGATGTAGTTTTCTAACATTGGACGAGATGGCCCCAAGTACAAACTAGACACCAGTGTTTCCCAAAGTGAGCAAGAATGCCCCTCTGTGAGGCAACTGCTCAATCCAAGGAGACTGCCAAAACAGATACCTGCAATTTATCCTGGATTATGGGCTATAGTACAGTTTTTGTTTTGTGTTCATTGCTAGAGGGGAGCTGAGCAACATTCTTTCTGATAAAGGGGGGGTGGTAGGTCAATTAAGTTTGTGAAGCTGTCTTATGCAGAGATACAACAGGGATTTAATTTACATGAAAGGATCTTGCTTAGAAAGAGTAATGGTGGTGTGGGGAAGGGGGCATACTGAGCAACTGTTGTCAGAGGTTTAGGCGGAAAACATGAAGAGTGGTGAATTATGGAAGACAAGAGAAGGGAGAGTCTTCAAGAGTAAAAGTGAGCCCCAATGCCAATATGAAGACCAACGCAGAACTATTACATTCGTGCATTTGGAGGTCAGAATTGGATGTTTTATAGACGTTTCGATGGAAGAATAAGGGCAATCAGATGAGGACATCGGTAAAAACAAGAAAACACACGCACACACACACACACACACATATATATATCTTAATTCTTGCATTTGTATAATCATCATACAGACAGAGATTCTTGTCAAGCTATTACTAAAGAAATAATTGTGATGTGAATTACCTGTCTTACAAAGAGCATTTTAAGTAGGTATGATGAGACATTTATTGTGTTTTAATTAAACAACTGATTTGCAGGGAAGCGTTGTGGAGGCATATTCAGCTTAGAAGAGTAAAACTCCATTGCTTTTTAAGTATGTCAAAGTTACATAAGCAGTGAAACCAAATGAACCAACAGAAATCTCTAGGAATGCTAAAGGGCATATTGTCAACACTTGCTGCAACTTCAGCACCAATCAAAAGTCCCTATGTACCCTATGTCCAGGCAGAGCAATTAAACTACTGTGTCCTGGGTTCGCACTCACTCCCTCACACACTCACTACCATCAATCAATTCCAACTGTGTCTCTGGTTTTCTGAGACTATCTTTTGAGGGGAGTAGGAAGCCTCATCTTTCTTTGACAGAGTCGGCTGGTGGTTTACATCAATTGACCTTGCGGTTAGCAGCCCATGGTATAACCCACTACATGACAGTAGTAACATAATGAGTTACTGGTTGGGCTTCTCTCCGTAAGGTCAGCAATTCAAAACTACCAGCCACTCTTTGGAAGAAACACGAGGCATTCTACTCCAGTCTGGAGAAGTTCTATTCTGTTCCAAATGTCACTGTGAAATGGAATTGACTCAATAGGAGTGAGTTTTGTTTGGACGATTTGGAGGTTGAGAGTGCAGACTATTTATACATGTCCACAAGGCATTGCACAAGGGATGCACTTTCCACTTTACCACAATTGCATTCTTCTTTCTTCATGGACTCCATGACAGTGAATTTGGGTTTGTTTTATTTTGCTTGCAGAACTGTGTGATCTATGTGACAAAGCTGACAGGATTTTTATGTCACTGAAAGATATATTAGCATTAAATCAGTATATTACGTCAATGATTAAGGAAATGAAATCATGTGTAATTCCAGTGAAAAGTAAATTTCTGATAAAAAGAAGATAATCAATGAACTCTGCATTATTCTGCTGTTAAGAGCTGAAAAGTCACTGCTATGGAGTGGATTCTGACTCATCATGACTCCATAGGACAGGGTAGAAGACTGTCATGCTTTACGGAAGCTGAAAGCCTGGTCTTTCTCCTGTGGAGCAGATGGTGGCTTATTACTGATGACCTTCCGGTTAGCAGCTGGAAGAGTAACCACTATGTCACCAGGGCTCCCTGCTGTCAATATTAGTGATATATGCCAACTATTTCAAGATATCAATACTAACTTAAGACACACTATAAATATAAGGGGGGATGTCTGTGTATGTATATCTGTGTATATGTGTGTGTGGAAAAAAACGAAAGATGCGCTTTCATCCTCGACAGCAGAATGATGATAAAAAATAATAAAATTGAAATTCTCAGAAACATGATAGCCCTGTTATTTGAGATTATGAAGATAAACACTAAAAGAAATAGCTGAAAAAGATGAAAAAGTCCTCTGTGGAGTCAGATAGGGGATTTGAGATAGGGATGAGAAAGAAAGAAGACCACAATTATTTTTTTAATGTATGGCTCACAGAACTATTGGGTTTTCAAATTATGTAAATATATATGTATTTTTTTGTGTGGAGTGGACGGAGCAAGTTCCTATTCCATCTCCTAATTCCAAAAATCTATTTCATATATTGTCCTCGGATAGAGGACGTATCAGATATTAAACTGATAAGAAGAGATACTACACTTGATCTTAGCCAAAAGGCCGAGAAGCGATAAATTATGTAAATATATTAATTAACTGAAAAACACAACTCTTTAATGCAAAGTATAAAAAATAGTGAATTTTGCATTTCTTTTGTTTCTTCCATAGATAGATTTGTCTGAGTTCTCTAGAGAAACAAAACCATTGTTATTTATATGTGTTTATATATAAATACATTTTTATCACGAAAATGGCTCACACATATGTCAAAGCAGTCAAGTCCAAGTTCAGACAGATACCAAGTCAATGGGTCAGCTTTTAAACTGGTGACTTCTCCTGCTTCACGTAGATGCAGAGGCTGATGAGTCCAAGATTGGCAGGAGGCAATAGGCTGGTGACTAAAATGAAAATAAATCCAAGGTTGGTAGGTCACATGTCAGGCTACTGAAGACTACCAGGATAGGCAGGCAATATGGCAGACCAAATAACTGGAGGTTGATGAGTCAGATTCAGAGTCCAAATGCAGCAAGAATCAAGCAAGTTTTCCACAGCTTTTCTTATATGGGAAATAGGCAATACCTTTGATGAAACTATAATTGCATAAAAATTGTGACCTGAATAAGGGGGTTGCACTCCATGATGCCATCATTTATCTATAATTGCTCTGTGGTAGTTTCCGTGTTGCTCTGATGCCAGAAGGATCACTCAAAGTGAACAGCTTTCAGTAGAGCTGCCACACTAAGAACAGACTACTAAGAAATAATAGGCAGTACATTTCTGAGGAATTACCTGCTTGAAATCTTATGAATAGCAGCTGACCATTGTCATATATTTAAAAGCCCCACGAATAGCAGTAGAACATTGTCAGAACTTAAAACCAAATGAATGGGAGAAGAATGGTGCCAGAAGGGGAACCCATAAGGTTGGAAGGCACTCATAATCTGACTGAGGAAGAGCCACCTCTTCGATTAGAGTTTGCCATAAGGACATGGATAGAGTAAGCCTTCAAGTCTTTATTTGCTAATGGGGCAAGACTCAAAATGAGAAGAAACAGCTACAAATATCTGTTAATAATTAGAAATTGGAAGGTATTAGGCATGGATCCAAGAAAATTAGAAGTCATCAAAATGAAATGGAACACATAAATATTGTTATCTTAGACATTAGTGAATTGAAATGGACCAGTATTGAGCATTTTTCATCAGACAGTCATATGGTTTGGTATGCCAGGAATGATAGATTCAAAATGAATGTCTTCACATTCATCATCAAAAAGTACATTTCAAGATCTAGCATGAAGCACATTGCTGTTTGTTGTGGAATGATATCTATGCATGTAAAAGGAAAGGCAGTCAATATGAATATTATTTAAATTTGTGTGCAAGCCATTAAAGCTAGTGATGAAGAAATTGAAGAATAATTGTACCAACACCCAGTCTGAAACTTATCACAAATGTGATGAAGATGCCTTGATAATTATTGGCGATTGGAATTCAGACGTTGGAAACAGAAAGGAACAGTAGTTAGAAATATGGACTTGGGGATAGAAATAAAGTTAGAGATTACATGACAGAATTTTGCACGATCAATGACTTTGTGGCAACTATGTTTCCTCAACAATACAAACAGAAGTTATAAGCACATGGAGTTCATTAGATTGAATAAACAGATATCAAATTGACCACATCTTTCTGAAGAGACGATGGAGACATTCAATATCTGTAGCTAAAATGAGGCCAGGGTGGGCTGTGGAACAGAGGAAAATCAATTGCTCATATCTAAATTCAGGTTGAAGCTGATGAAAATTAAAACAATTTCAGGAGAACCAAAATACAACCACATGAGTATAAACCACTGAATTCTGAGAACATCTCAAATGGATTTGGCACATTGTACACTTCTGACAGAGGGCCTGATGAGCTGTGGGAGGTCATCAAGAACACCATGCATGAATAAAGCAAAAGGTCACTAGAAACATAGAAAAGAAAGAATAGATCAAAGTGGATGTCAGAACAGACTCTTAAACGTGCTTTCGCATGGGCAAATAGAAGAAATAAGGCATTCAAAGATCTGAACAGAAAATTTAAAAGGGCACCTTGAGAAGACAAAGTATTATAATAAAATGTGCAAAGACCTAGAATTAGAAAACCAAAAAGGAAGAACACACAGCGTATTTTAAATGGAAAAACTCAAGAAAAAAAGTCAAAGATAAGATGCTGAGTCATGATTTTGAAAGGTTCTACAGCCAAATATTGAACAACGCAGGAAGCATCAAAAGAAGATGGAAAGACTACACAGAGTCAAAAAGAACCATCCGACATTCAATCATCTCAAGAACGAAGGGTACTGAAGGAAGAAGCTTAACATGCAATGAAATCATCAGCCAAAAGCAAGACTCTAGAAATTGATGGACTATTCATTGAAATATTTCTACATGCTGATGAAGATATGCCAAGAAATTTGGAAGGCAGCTACCTGGCCAACTGCTTGGAAGAGATCTGTATTTGGATCCTTTCCGTAGAAAGATGATTCAGCAGAATCCTCAAATTATAGAACAATATATTTGATAGCACATGCGAGTAAAATTGTATTGACGATCACCCAACAACGATGGATCAGTACACTGACAGGGAGATGCCAGAAATTTAGGCCGGATTCAGAAGAAAATGTGAAACCAAGGTTAGTATTGCTGATGCCAGTTGGATCTTGTATAAAAGCAGAGAACAGCAGAAGGGTTTTTACTTGTGGTTTATTGGCTATTCAAAGGCTGTGAATCATAATAAACTATGTGTAGTCTTGAGAAGAATGGCAATTCCAAAACACTTATTGTGCCCATGTGGAACTTGTACATGGATCAAGATTCAGTTGTGTGAACATAACAAAAGAATACTACATGGTTTAAAATCAGGAAAGGTGTGCATCAGCATTGCATCTTCTCCAAATATTTCTTCGATCAATATGCTGAGCACATAATTAGGTGATTGGACTATATGAAGAGGAATATGGCATCAGAATTGGAGGAAGACTTATTCACAATCTGAGGTATGCACACGCACAACCTAGTTTGCTGAAATTGGGGAGAACTTGAAGTACTTGCTGATTAACATCAAGAATTGTAGCCTTCAATATGGATTTCATCTTCATGCAAAGAAGACTCAAATCCTCACAACTGAATCAATTGGTAACATAGTCACGCACTTCCATCTTGCTTGGAACCACAATCAGTGCTCATGGAAGCAGCAATCAAGAGATCAAAGGGTGCATTGCATTGCTTGTATCTGCTGCACAAGACCTCTTTAAAGAGTTGAAAAACAAGTTTACTTTGAAGACTAAGTTGTGCCTGACAAATTATGGTATTTCAATCACTTTATTTGCATGTGAAAATTGGACATTGAATAAGGAAAACCCAAGAAGAATATTTGCATTTAATTATAGTGCTGGTGAAGAATATTGAAAGTAACATAGACTGACAAGAAGAAAAACAGGTGTATCTTGGAAAAAGTACAGACCTAATGCTCCTTAGAAGCAAGAATGGCACGTCTTTGTCTCATGTACTTTGGACATGTTATCAGGAGAGATCAGTTCCTGGGAAAGGACAGCATGTTTGGTAAAGTAGAGGGTCAGATGAAAAGAGGAAGACCCTTGGAAAGGTGAATTGATCCAGTGGTTGCAACAAATGGCTCACACATAACAATTGTGAGACTGGCAATGGAGTGGGCAAAGTTTCATTCTATTTGACCTTGGGCCACTATGATCTGGCTCAACAGCACCTAACAACAACCTAAAATCTCCACTCTAATCTTCTTACAATTGTGTGTCTGCCCATCACAGAGTTGATTACATTAAGTTAGGTCACATTGTGAGGAATTGCTAGGCCTGAACTGCCAAACAACTGAGAATCCTAGCCTAGTCAATTTGACACAAAACCCAACTATCACAGGTAGAGACATAGATAAAGGTTTGCATTTTACCTCTCTTTTTTTAGGAGGGGGTCTGTTCTCTCATACTGTGTGTATGTATCATTGGATACATAGGGGAAACCTCTTTGAGGAAATTTAAATTTAGATCTAAAAATGAACATCTGGAAGTGTAAACATAAGAGTGGTGGTGGTGGAAATAGAATTCTAGACAGAGGAAATAAGGTTTAAAATGACAGGGAAGTGCTTGGTCTTTTGCAGGAAGTGAAAGGAGTTTAAGAGACCAGAGTCTGGTTTTCCATAAAATAAAGCTGGGAGAAAATATTTTAAAGTGAAGAATCAGTGACAAGGTATATGAGTTTATGCATTTTTGACAAATATATGTATAAATAGTAGGAAAAGAGTCATGGAACAAGGGAGCTGATTAAACCAGAAAAAGGGCAGGGAGTGATGCTGAAGAGTGAGTAGGGTCTACATGCTACAAATAATTTTAAGCCTTAGTAAAGATCTTGGCTTTTACTTTAAATGCAATGCAGAGCCATTGAAGGATTTAAAGCAGGAAAATGACATGAATAGGTATATGTTATAAAACAGTATTTTTGTTTCCATGAATAGGATAGATTGAAAATAAAACAAAGAGATGGATGGGATGTTGCTTCAGAAGGAAATAACGGTGATTCAGAGTAAAAACATTGGAGCTGGGGACAAATGGAAGATTCAAGGTTTACTTTGAAGGTAGAATTGTGGGTCTTTTAGCTATTGGGCGGGCAGATAGGAGAGAGGAAGAATTGGTGATCAGAACACTTAGATTTTCAGTCAGAAGGAACGTGATGACATTTACTTAGATGACAACGAGCCGGGCGAGGTGCGGAACAACGAAGAGACCTTATAGACACTGTAAAATTGTTTCATGTCTGGGAAACATCCATGGAAAAATGTCAATAAAGAATTTGATTTCAAGAGATTTGTCTATTACATGTGCTTTATTTCTAGGGAACTATGAACATACAAGTATGAATAATGTGGAAAACCAAACCTATTGCCAACGAGTCAATATCTGTGCACAGCAATACTGTATAGTGCTTCGGATGTTGTCAATCTTCAATTTTCCCCTGTGGATTTGCTGGTGGGTTTGAACTGCTCACCTTGTTGTTCACAGCCCAATGCTTACATGAAGCCCAATGCTTACATGACAGTGCCAGCAAAGCGCCTTGGTCTGTATCCTCAAACTTACACCACTGCCGTTCAATCAACTCTGAGGAATAATGACCCCATAGGACAGAGTAAAACTCCCTTTTTTCCTTTTCATAAAAAATATTGAACCAACTGACTCCATATCTGTGTTAGATAGCATCAGAATCTCTCTCTCTCTCTCTCTCTCTCTCTCTCTCTCTCTCTCTCTCTCTCTCCCCTCTACAACCTGACCTACCTACCTACCTTCCTGCCTATCTACCTATCTCTCCTTCTCTCTACCTGTCTTCTGTTTTTCCAGCAATTTATCTGTAATCTTGATGCTCATACAACAGATTTGACTTGGCTTATGTTAACAGACATCATGTATATGTACAAAAGGAGGATGAAATCAAACCATCAGGATTCCATGAAGGAGAACGGGGATGTTTTCAGGATAACAGTCAAGCACGATCTCTATAATAACTGTATTCTCTTAACTGAAAATTTTGACTTGACATAGATTCCCACAAAGATGTGTTTCTCTTCCTAACTTTGTCAATGTATTTATTTTTAAAAATCTTTTAAAGTAAACTGTAAGTGTGTGTGTGGGGGATGGGGAGCATAAGCATGTGTGTGTGCCTTGTTTTGGGTGTTGTTTTTTTTTTTGATGAATCGACTTGTCTTACAAAGAATAAGCTTACATGAGTCATAACTATTCTGGAAAGGTCGCTGTGGATCCTTCCTACATCGTGTTGGCCCTGGTAGAACACATTTGAGACCTGCTTGCGAAGAGGCATCAGAACAAGTGCGCAGGCCTGAAAGTGCACTAGGATTTCAAAGGAGGGAAAGTCTGGGGCAGAGGTTGCAGTTCTTCATTGGAACTTGGGATATACGAGGAACCTTGAAAACTTCGTGGAAAAATCCCTGTATATTTTAAATTTATTTTCCACAAACTCTTTGAAGCCCCCGTACTTATGACTTAAAGCAGAATAGATCATTCCCCTTAAAGCATATATGAGTAACTCATAGGGTGTAGAGATCACTATAATCCATTTCATAGAAGAAGAAATAATTAAAAGGATATTCTAAAATGATTCTCTGGGATTAGAAGAATTTTAATTCACAGTGCTCACCTGAGGTGTGTGTAACCCCTGGAACTGGCTATCTGACCACAACATATGATATTTATCAGATAAATGGAAGCAAAAAATATAGGTGTATTTTCAGATGACTCCACCTAAAAATCAATTTCCCTTATTCTAGCCCATCAGAGTAAGGCAATTCAATGTAAAAATATTTTGCAAAATTATTTCGTTGCTGTAGTTCAAATAATCTAAGAAATATTATATTTAAGAAATATATGACTACATTTATCACATATTATTCTGGGATGAAAACTGATTATTAAGGACTGACAGAAGAACCAAAAAAATTATGTCTTGGCATCCCCCTACAGAAGGGTCGCAGGAGAGGAGACAAGCCAGTCAGGGTGCAGTGCAGCAAGGATGAAACATACAATTTTCCTCTAGTTCTTAAATGCTTCCTCTCCCCCACTATCATGATCCCAATTCTACCTCATAAATCCGGCTGGACCAGTTCATGTACACAGGTACAGATAATAACTGGAAACACAGGGAGTCCGGGACAGATGAACTCCTCAGGACCAGTGGTGAGAGTGGCGATACCAAGAGGGTGGAGGGAAGGTGGAGTAGAAAGGGGGAACGGATTACAAGGATCTACATATAACCCCCTCCCCGGGGGATGGACAGCAGAGAAGTGGGTGAAGGGAGACATCGGACAGTGAAAGACATGATGAAATAATAATTTTTTTTAAATTATCAAGGGCTCACGAGGGAGGGGTGGGCAGGGAGGGAGGAGCAAAATGAGATGCTGATACCAAGGGTTCAAGTAGAAAGCAAATGTTTTGAGAATGATGATGGCAACAAATGTACAAATGTGCTTGACACAATGGATGAATGTATGGATTGTGATAAAAGTTGTAGGAGCCCCTAATAAAATAATTGGAAAAATACACTCAAAATGCTTCTGAGAAGCCAGGATATCAAGTCTTTATCTCACGTACTTTAAACGTGTTATCAGGACAGACCAGTTCCTGCAGAAGGACAATCAAACCGAAAACTACACTCACTGTCATCCAGTCGATGCCACTCATAGCGACCTCATAGGAGAGCGGGGAAGTGCCCCTGTGTGCTTTTACGATTGTAACTCTTTAAAGGAGGAAGTAGAAAGGCCATCTGTTTCTCAAGGAGAGCTAGTGGTTTCGAACTGCTAGCATTCTGGTGAGTATCCCAGCTCGTCATCCAGTACACCACTAAGGAATATTAATCGAGCGATGATATCATACAACATAATGATCAATGAACATTTACTGAGCTCATAACCTGTACTGTATATTTTCCATAAAGGTTATCACTCTTGAACATGCAAACCCCATCAGGCAATTTATTTATTTATTTATTTTATTTTATTTTTATTTTTTATGTCAAACATTTTTTTCTTTTTTCTTTCTTTTTTTTTTAATCATCTTATTAGGGGCTCACACAACTTTTATCACAATCCATACACACATCAATTGTGTAAGGCACATTTGTACATTCATTGCCCTCATCATTCTCAAAACATTTCCTCTCCACTTAAGCCCCTGGCATTAGGTCCCCGTTTTTCCCCTCCCTCCCGGCTCTCCCTTCCCTCATGAGCCCTTGATAATTTATAAATTATTATTTAGTCATAGCTTGCCCTGTCCTATATCTCCCTTCACATACTTTTCTGTTGTCCATCCCCCAGGGAGGAGGGCACATATAGTTCCTTGAAATTGGTTCCCTCTTTCCAAACCACTCTCCCTCTACCCTCCCTGGTTCGTCACTCACACCACTGGTCCTGTAGGGATCATCCGCCCTGGATTCCCTGTATTTTCAGTTCCTATCTGTACCAGTGTACATCCTCTGGTCTAGCCAGACTTGCAAGGTAGAATTCGGATCGTGATAGTGGGGGTGGGGAGGAAACACTTAGGAACTGGAGGAAAGTTGTATTTTTCATCGTTGTTACATTGCACCCTGACTGGCTCATCTCGACCCCGAGACCCCTCTGCAAGGGGATCTCCAGTGGCCCACAAATGGGCTTTGGGTCTCCACTCCGCACTCCCCCCATCATTCATTATGGTAAGATTTTTTTGTTCTGATGATGCCTTAGGCTGGTGTGCTTCTTCGATGTGGGCTTTATTGCTTCTGAACTTGATGGCTGCTTGTTTACCTTCAAGTCTTTAAGACCCCAGACGCTATACTTTTTGGTAGCCGGGCACCATCAGCTTTCTTCGCATTTGCTTATTCGCCCACTTTGTCTTCAGCGCCAATTTAATAGAACAAAGTATTCTTGCATTGAGGAAGTACTTGAGTGGAGGCCCAATGTCCTTCTGCTACCTTAGTACTGAACCTATAAATATAGGCACATAGATCTATTTCCCCATCCTCATATAAATATATTTGCATATGTACATGTCTTTATCTACCTCTATAAATGCCCTTTGCCTCCCAGCTCTTTCCTCTATTTCTCTTGATTTTCCTCCTGTGATTCTAACTCTTGGTGACCCCGGGGAGTGCGAAGGGTTAAAGTGCTCGGCTGCTGAAAGCCTGAAGGCTCACTTATTGCGGAGCCGAGGGCACCTCAGAGGTGAGGCGTAGCCGTTCACTTTTTCAGTCAGCCATTCCCTCCCTGTTATCCAGGGAGGGAGCCACCGGCCACTCGCCACAACCAAGTGGCTGGTGCGGGGGTCCGCAATTCAGAGCAGAAGCCGGAACTCTGATGGGAACCCACCCTTTTCATCTCAATTGCGTTCTTTGGTCACCATCCTGAACTGTGTCCAAAGGAAAAAAAGTTCCAACTAGATTTTGTTCAGAGACTTCATATGAAGCTTTTCCCTTTCTTTCCCTCTGAGGCCTCAAATGTTCCCCCAAACGAACCAGTGACAGACAAACACAGACTTAGTGTTCGGGAAGGAAAGAGCTGAAGCCGTCGCAGTGCGACCAGTGGGCGGCGGAAGTAGTCGAAGCATGTGGAGGAAGTCACCAACGGTGCCTGAGCGGTTTGAACCGGAGGCAAGGCGCAAGTGCTTCGCGGCTCTTATAGAAACGATTCAACATGTCTGACTTCTCGGAATCCAAGCAGCAGTTGCAGGAGAATAAGAAACAGCGGGAGGAGGAGGAGACGTGTCTCCGGTCACACAGGCACGGCCGCTCGTGGAGCCGGGAGCGAAAACGCTGCCACCCGAGCCGGAGCCGTGGCTTGGATAGTGTCAGGATGCGTGCCCGAAGCCGGAGTTATGGCCGGAGCCGGGCGCGTGGCCGAAGCCGGAGCCGTGGTCGGAGCCATGACCAGAGAAGTGCCAGAAGCCGGAGTCATGGCCGGAGACGTGCCCGAGGCCGAAGCCGGAGCCGTGGCCCTGACAGTGGTCGGAGACATGCCGGGAGCCGCCATAGCGGTGCCCATAGCTATAGCCGGGGCCAGAGTCGGAGCCCGGACTGCGACCCCAGGTCCCAGCGTCATACACGGCCTTGTGCCACCGGCCCTGCAAAGAAGGTGTACAAGTACTGGGATGTGCCGCCCCTTGGCTTTGAGAACATGACTCCCATGCAGTTCAAGGACCTGCAAGCTGCTGGTGAGATTTCGGCCTCCACTTGCCACACCAAGACTTCGGATGAGATCCCGAAGCTGTTGCCCATGGTCTACACCCATAAAACCAGACAGGCCCGCCGCCTTTTTGTGAGCAACATCCTTGAGAGGACCGTGGAGCATGACCTGATGCAATTCTTCAATGCCCATATGACCATGGGGGGGCTGAGCCAGGCCCCTGGCAACCCGCTGTTAATTGTGCAAATCAACCAGGAGAAGAAGTTTGCCTTTTTGGAGTTCCGCTCCGTGGATGAGACCACCCGGGCCTTGGCCTTGGACGGCATCATCTTCCAGGGTCAGGCATTGAAGATTCGCAGACCGCATGATTACCGGCCTCTCCCCGGCGTTGCGGATGTCCCTTCCATCTGTGTGCCTGGCGTTGTGTCCACTGTGGTCCCTAACTCTGACCACAAACTCTTCATCGGGGGCTTACCCAACTACCTAAAAAGCCACGAAGTGAAGCAGCTGCTGTCCTCTGTCGGGCCTCTCAAGGCCTTCAACCTGGTCAAGGAGGACCTCACCGGGTACTCCAAGGGCTATGCCTTCTTTGAGTACCTGGATACCAGTATCACTCCAATGGCCATCAGCTTGCTGAACGGGGTGAAGATGGGGGGCAAGAAGTTGCTGGTCCAGCTGGCAAGCGTGGGCGCTAGGAGGAGCACACCGGTGAGTTCGCCAAGGACCCTGCGCAAGGCCCTCATTGCCAAACCAGCAGAGGAGCTTCAGAATGCCGAGGTGCAGCTGCCCCACCAAAGTGCTGTGCCTCGAGAACATGGTGCTGCCCAAGGAGCTGCAGGACGACGAAGAGTACCAGGAAATCCTGCAGGATGTGCGCCAGGAGTGCAGCAAGTACAGGGCGGTCGAGTCCATCGATATCCCCTGCTCCCGGCGCAGCCTCCAGGGTCTAAGCGTCAGAAAGATCATCGTGAAGTTCAGGGCTGTGTTGGGCTGTCAGAAAGCCAGGCAGGGCCTGACCTGCTGCAAGTTTGCTCACCGAATGATCGCCGCTGAATATTGTGACCCAGATGCCTACAACCGCGTGGACTCTAGGTAAGGTCCTGGGGGAGGGGGTGGTGGAGGTGGGGGAAGGGCAGACAGGAGGCTTCCTCCATGACAGATACCTCCATTCTCCCCCCCTTTCTTCCATTGTAGGTTGAGGGGAAGCGAAGTGACAGTGGACTGCAACTGGAAGGACACAGATGGGATGAGGTGGCAGAAGGGGGATGGGAAGTAGACACCCACCTGCTCCCTGAGGGCAGGGTCAGATAGGGATCCCATGCCCCTCCTCAAACTGCCTTTTTTCCTTGAACTTTCCCTCCTTTCCCATGGTAGGGGCTTAGGGAGTTTGTATTTTATGGCCAAATTATTTTGAAACTTGATGTCCGGGTACCCGTTGCCCGGCTCAACCCCTATGACCACAGATTCTGCCTTCCCAGCCACCAACCCCCTGCCCCTTTATCTTAGGCAAATTAACTCATTCTTTGTTGTCTACCAACCCTGCGCCCCGCCTCATGCCAGTCTCCCTGCAACCGTTTCTTATTTGTTAAAGACCAATTTTCTCATTAAATATTTTGTCGTATTAATGTTTATATATACATGTGGTCTCAGTGTTGTAATTCAAACAGAACAATCATTTGGGATCCAGTTTGTATCTTTACGACTTTGGGTCACTCAGAGTCAATACCAGGTCCACATTTGTGTTTCAGTGCCCTCTTTTATCTTGTGGCCTGTTGAATACTTCCTGGGTTCTGAAGCGCTTGTAAGGCAGATGAAGAGGTGGGGGAAAGGGAGAGCCAGCAACAATGCTCAGAAGTGGATGATTTCACAAATCTTCTTAATATAACTGAGTCATTAAATCGTAGCAAATGTGAACTATATCCTAATAAAATATAATAAAATTTAAATTTAAAAATAAAAATTTAAAAATACAAGGAAACCTTGTAAGAGACCCCCCCAAGGTACAGCAATTGCTCACTATTTCCCAAGAACTAAGAGAGTCAGGAATAGGGGGAAGAAATACAAGGGGGTGATGGTGAAAAAAATTCACAGGAAAAGGAAATGGAAAGATAATGAGAATTCTCCATAAACTGTCTTGAAGGTCCCTCCCACAATGCTTGGCTAATTGTCTCCATGAACAACCGTATCCATCACCAAGCGTATAGAACTGGGTGATGTCCCATTTTTGTTATTGAATGTTTTGATACCAAAATTCTGTAGGAGAATAATAATAAAAGGGGGAGAAATGGACAACAGAATTTCAATTATATTGGACTCCAGATCTTCTGGAGCAATTAAGGCTGGATGAACTTAGAAACTGTTAAACTGAGATCACCTTTAATTCTAAAAGCAAAGATATCCTCTAAAGTCTTCTTTATACCAAATAACGAATAGCTCGGCCTGCTTTTGAGTCAAATCTGACTCAGAGTAACCCTGTAGGGTAAAACAGAAACCCTTTGGATGCCCGAGGCTGTAAATCTTTATGGAAGCAGAAAGCTTCATTTTTCTGCCACAGAACAGGTTATAGATTTGAACTACTAACCTTGTGGTTCAGCCAAAATGAAAGAATCACCTATTAAAGACATAAACATTTCAAATTATTGATGAAACTGTGTCCCCCAAAGCAATTTACAAAGCCTCAGAATTCCTACATAGTGTTGCTATTAGTAGGAATCAACTTAATGACAGTGTTTTGTTTGGGGGGATTTTAAACTTTCATTTATCATTTAGTAAAAGAGTCCAGTCGTTTGGACATTGGCCTGCTAACTACAAGCGGGGAAATTCAAACTCATTAGCCAGTCCAAGGGAAAAATGAGACTGTCTGCTCCCATAGAGGTATTCAGTCTCAGAAACCTGATGTAGTCACTAAGAGTCAGATTCGACTTGATGGCAGTCGGCTTGGTGTGGGTTTTTGGTTATCACGTTATAATTTTGAATAATAATAGGAGCTATTTCTTTGAAAGATAGTCTCACTGTAAATCATACATTAGGTAATTCATTTAAAGAACTATATATCCCAAAATAAATAAATGCTTATTATAAAATGAAAATCTTAGCTATCCCTGAATTTAAAAGAGAATAATGGAGGCATTTTTTAATCTGATGATAAGAATGCTCATGTTAGAAAGAGTGAACGTAAGACTATACCGTATAAGCAAAATTTGATCAAGTGATTCCAATAAATGTGATTTATGTTGGGATCAGAAGCTATTTATATCAGCCTGTGTTCATTGTATACCTGAGTTCTGGTTTTAATTCAATTGAATACCCTTGCTTATAGCTTACAGGTTTCCAAATTACCTGCAATCTGACAGCGGCACATTTCTATAGTGTTTAGTGTGAGATGAGGCTTTCTACTCCCATAAACAGGTATGCCCTCAGAAACACATAGGGCTAGTTGTACCCTGCCCTATAGGATTGCTATGTCAGGATTGACTCAGTGGTGGTGATTTTTGGAGGGGTTTGGAAGGTTTCCCACTAAATTGCGAGCTACCTTGTACCTGCCAGAGCAAATCTGCTGTTCCCTGAGGATTGGAATGTCTCTAGCATCAGTGCTGACACTAGCTAATGGGATAGGTATGTGTTCATGGCGAAGCAAAACAGTATGGTCTATGGAAACACTGTACAGTTATTGCAAAATGTATATAAATAAAAAGTTACATGATATAAAGATTATATTTTGCTGCTAAACGAATGCCATGAAAATGTAGGAAACGCTCAAGCTAACTCATAAACGTGGCTATGCCCATTAATAAATGAGATACCATGCACAGCACAAAGTGAATGGTCAGAAGGTGGAGAAGTCAGATCTCAAGTAATTATATGGAAGAATAGATCGATAGAATCTCTTTGGGAATTTATTAGGGACTATTTTATTTGGCATTATTTTTAAAAGTTAAAATTATTCAGACACTATTATTTCTTTTATGGGATGAATTGACTCAGTGGCTGCATCAACGGGCACAGGCACAGGAAGACTTGTGTGAGGATGGCATGGGACCCCGCCGCCTTTCGTTCTGTAGTTCATAGGATCGCTCTGGGTGGGGGCTGACGGTCGGCACCCAACAACATCAACAATAACAACACTCACAATTATTTACTTTAGTGGTAATATTTTCACTTTTCATATGAGAGACTCGTTTCATTACTTAGAAAATATTCTTCCTACACAGCCTCCAAATAGCTGTCAGCGGAGGTCTGTTATTGTGAGTTGCTATGTTGCATAAAAAAAGGAGCCCTGGTGGCAAAGTGACTATGTGTTGTGCTGCTAACTGCGAAGTCAGCAGTTGGAAACCACCAGCGGCTTTCCCCAGGAGAAAGACGGGGCTTTCTATTCAGTAAAGAGATAGAGGCTCTGAAATTCACAGGGGTTCTAACCTGTCCTATAGGGTTGCTATTAGTTGACATTGGCAGTAAATATGTTGCTTATATGGTTTCAAAGGACACTGAGGAGAGACACACAGAGGTGTCCTAAGGTTCTTTTTTTCCCCCTTCCATTGATATAGGTGACACCAGGTATTTTGCTTCATGCTTGGTTGTTTGTTTGGTGGGGGGTCTTGTTTTTTTTTTTATTAATTGGGATTTAACGCATAAACCATTCCATACTTCAATCATGTCAAGAAAAATGTACAATTGCTACCATAATCAGTTTCCAAACATTCTTTTTCTATGTGGACTCTGTGACATCATCTCCCCTTTACCCACCCCTGCAACCACTGTACTCCGTCCGCTACCACTCAAACCCCTTATTCTACTGGCTGACCCTATAGAATTATCAATCTTGGGTTTCTTATCTACTTGTTTTAAATTTTATTTATATGTTTCAAAATTCCTCAGTGGTGAACATGGTTAATGGCTGAAATACTGAAAAATGTGATGTCACGAATTCAAAGGCACCTTGAAAGGCAGGCCTCATCATCTCTTGTTGAAAACCATTTGGGGTAGTTTTACTCTGCATGCATGGAGTCACCATATGTGAGATTGATTCAATAGCAACTAACAATACTCTTTGTTTGGTAGCCAGTTTCTTCCCATCCCTCAATTATGGTTAGAGGGAAATCACCGGAGGCTTTTTTTTTGATACATAAAATTGAACTGGGACTTTAGTCCCACTCTGGCATTACTGAGATCAGACACCATCAAACTAGGTAATAATTTGCTTGCTTTTAAGAGAAAAAAATCCTAGATTCTTTTTAGAATAGAATTTTTACAATAAGCAAATAGCTCCATCAACAAACTGTGGTGACTTTGATTTCAATGTCCTTTTGCTCATTTGACACCATTGTTGATTACTAATTTTGTTTTATAGTCCAAAACATTTGTAAAAGTGTAAATTAAATAATTTCTTCAGTAATAAGGAACCTAATTGCTCTAGTTTTGTTGACATTAATAAATATGGAGAAAACCATGAATTAAATCAATTTAAATCACTGGTATAAAAAAAACAAACAGGCCCATTACAGTAAAATAATATTTAACAACTGCGAAAGTTTCCACCCATTCTCAAATAGTTTCTTTTAGAAGATATTTTCAAGTTCTGAGAGTCATAATATCAACAGCAATAGAATGCGCTCTCATTGGGGACTTCAAATGCTTGGGTTTAACTTAGACGTATATAAACTTTGAACAAGCGGATTCAATTCTCTGGAACTCTAGTTTCATCTGTAGAGGAACCTATGATTTATAGGAATGACCAAAAGGAGGCTAGGTGGGGTTGTAATAAGAAGATGCCATGAAAACTTATCAGAGGTTTGTGACTTGAGTAACAACTGCTTGATATCAGTCTCAAGGATCACAAAGCAAGGTGCTTTCACTTGTTTTATTTTTCAGTTTATTATTGTCATTAGTATCATCGTGTTCTACATTCAAGCCTTCTGTTTTAGACAGTGATTGTGGAAACAATTTTTCTGTTAAAAGACACTGAAAATACCTTGATACATGATGCCCAAAGCTTTCCTTGGACTAGCACTCTGTGACCAGAACTTAATTTAGGGAACACTTTGAGGTTGATCAAGTAATTATATTAAAGTGATGCGATTTGGGAGGAACAACTTTCAAGCACAAAAGTGCTAATATGAAAGGATGAGTGCTAAAGTGTTGTTGCCTTTTAATTAAGTTACATAAACCAAATAAACCAGTGAGATGCCCTGGTCTCACATTTTAAACTACATTCAATTGGAAAATATATTCTTCTCTAACCGATTTTTCTTCTTTGACTGATGGCAGCACAATTTAATG